ACGGATAGAAATGAGATGGTGGAATGGAATTGAATTTCAGATTAAACGGGACAAGAATGATATTCACTGCCCCACTTCAATCCATTTTCTATCTTAGCACACTATCCCATTTTACCCAACAGCCGGGTTAGTCCGCCGTCCAATTCGCGTTGTTTCCCTATCTCACCTCCCGGCCCAAATTCACTCACCGTTAAATTTCCCAAGCTATTCCATTCTATCTCACCTTCTCACTTTACCTCACCCTGATATTTGCCAGGCGCACCCATTTTACCACGCTATTTTGTCAATCCGCTGTTCAATATATTATGAATTCGATTTTAACCGACTATTCCACTACAAGGGGAGAAAACAAGACATTCCAACTCGCGTGTGGATTACTGCCCGCAGCGAAGCCGAGCGCAGTGAACACTCGGATTTTAATGTCCCGTTTTCCTTCCTAGGTGCACATACTATTTTTCGTCATTCCAGCCGTAAGGCAGCGCTTTACGAACGCTATGCAGCCGTTATAACAAAAAATATCATTCGATATACGGCCTAAAAAAACTTTTCTAGCTCATATGATTGCAACCCTCCCCTCCGGCTCGGGCTGCAAACTCATATCCACCAGAAATAGTATATATTACAGGTCAAGCACCGTAAAAAGACTCGTTGACGAAATTAACTTTACCCGCGCGAGCCGTAGGTGGTTTTTGTATTCTTAGATCCTTATTGATCCTGACCCTTGGATTCTGACCCTAAAAATTTCTGACTCTTAAAAATGTTGAACCGTCGAATATTAGAACCTCATTATTTTTGTGACCCTTAGAGGGGGCAACTCTCCACTCTCCACAATTTCTGGAGAGTGGGGGCAACTCTCCACTCTCCACAATTTCTGGAAAGTGGAGAGTTGGGGTCGGATGTTTGGTCGGGGCGACTCTCCACTCTTCACAATTTCTGGAGGGTGGATAGTTGGGGTCGGATGCTTGGTGGGGGCATTTCTCTACTCTCCACAGTTTTTAGAGAGTAGCCAGATGGAATTCCTGACTCGATAAGTTGTGACCCTACAGGGTTTTAACCCTTCAAGCTTCTGACCCTTATGACTCCAAGATCGCAAATCTTTTGACGCTTGGATATTTTGTCCCGAAAACCTTCCGCCCCTTTTTTTTTTTGATTCTGACATTCTGACCCTGGGATTCTCAGACCTTTATTGGTCCTGACCCTTGGATTTTGACCCTAAAAATTTCTAACCCTTAAAAATGTTGAACCGTCAAATATTTGAACCTCATTATTTTCGTGACCCTTAGAGTGGGGCAACTCTCCACTCTCCACAATTTCTGGAGAGTGGATAGTTGGGGTCGAATGCTTGGTGGGGGCAACTCTCCACAATTTCTGGAGAGTGGAGTTGGGGTCGGATGCTTGGTGGGGGCGACTCTCCATTCTCCACAATTTTTGGAGAGTGGACAGTTGGGGTCGGATTATTTGACGGTTCAACATTTTTAAGGGTCAGAAATTTTTAGGGTCAAAATCCAAGGGTGAGGACCAATAAGGGTCTGAGAATCCAAGGGTCAGAATGTGGGAATCGAAAAATATAAGGGTCGGAAGGTTTCGAGACAAAATATCCAAGCGTCAAAAGATTTGCGGTTATAGAGTCATAAGGGTCAGAAGCTTGAAGGGTCAAAAGATGTAAGGTTTAGAAGATTTCAGGGCCAAAACGTCCGACTTTCACAAAAAATTTGAGGTCCGGAAGTTTAAAGAGGGGTGAAGTATAATGTTCAGATGATTACAGGGTCAGATTATTCAAGGGTCAAAATCCACAAAGCCCAAAACATTCCTCGCCTCAGCCATCTCCTCTCTAAAAGTACTGAAGAGTAGAGAATTGGCCCTGTCATTCCAACTCTCCACGAATTCTCACATTTCTCTCCACTCGTGGAACAAATAGAGAGTCGGACTATCTACTGGGTCCGCTAGGGAAAGATTCACTAGTGGCAGATCCGATTTAAGAAAATTTAGGAATGTTGAAATATTTTTAAGCCATCAGCAACCTTGTTCGCACTTTGAAAAAGTTTGTGCATATGATTGTTTGACCCTTAAACCCTAAAAAATCCTCTAAATTGATGTTTCCGCCGTCGAATATCGCACTACTTTCAGCTTTATATTATAATACTCAAATATTATCAATTCGTTTTATACCAAAGTCAAATGTTGTAAGTTTAAAATAATCACAGTTATGTGTCGAGGGTTAAAAATAAGGGTTGAATTGAAAACACTGTATAATGAGATGTATTAAATTGCTTTTACTAATGTATTTGTTGATTTCGATAAAAAAATACAATTTCAGACATATAAACGTAAATTTCTACTCTCGGCAAAGTACAAAACACAATTTAAAAATATTTGAACACTTCTTTGTAGATCTTTTCAGGAATCTTCAAACCATCCTAAGAGATGAATGGAAAAGTAGTTTGACGATATTGAGAAAGAGATACGAAACCACCAGCCTCCATTGGTTGCAACTCCAATATTTATGTTTTTTTTTGTTTAAAATGTACCAACTGCCTAAGATCCTGAAAACTCGTGATTATAATGTTTGCCCTTACAAATAAACAAAACTTAATACTATGTCTAATAAACACGTTTCATAATTTTTCTCTTTAAAGAGGCATCAATCCCTTATGTTTATTTCATTACATGCTTTAATAAGGGCATTTTCTTTGTGTTGAATAGTTAAATTGGTTCTCCTATCATAATACTTTATTAATTCTACTTCTTTAACTCTTTTTCTAATCTATCAGTACTTATTTTGGCTATTTCCCTTATTAAACAACATGACAGAAGTAATGCCAGATTGATTCGTAACGACAGTAAATGGACACTTGAAATCACTTGAAATCACTCTAGTCTGTCCCCTGCATGTCCATTGAAGCTCATTGAATAAGCTTCAAATTGAGAGGTCATTCGTCCAATTTCGACCATTTTTCAGAGTTATGGCAGTCTTTGCTTAAATTTGATTTTTCAAATCAAATCTAAGCAAATCTGGATTTGTCCATCTTTCTAATTCAAATCACCTGAAAAATTGATATATCATCTTGAAGGGCATTATTCCTTCTTCAACTTGTGATGCATTGGATGCAATTTAGTAGAGTTTTCATAAAGTTATAGGAGATTATTTCTCTTTTGAACTTCATGTCACACCTTGAAATTCGGTCTTTTCATCCATTATTGGATTTTTCCACTTAAGCAATGAGGATTTATTATACACTTATTTGAAGATTTCAACTAGATCTTTGAAATGACGTGTGATTTTTCTCACTACATCCACTTGATCAATTGCTATGGGTGATTATGTGGCAATTCACGATTTCTTCCAGCATTTTAATGCTGGATTGTTGTCATTCCCGCCAATATTCAGTGGCATTAATGAAGTCAATAATTAGTCGAATAAAAAAAAATTGATTGAAGAATCAATTTCCTGCAGCCTGGGTAGCGCGTGCGAAGCGTGCGTCTCGCCCAGTTCGTGAAAAAAATTGAGGTGATATGATTTAAATTTAGAGTTTATCGATCAGTGGCGATGAGATGTGCGTAAGCTTCGGAAAAAAAATCATCATTATCAGGGTAGTTTCCGAATTTGGGATCAATACTGACATTTTGGCGCCATCTTTATCATCCAAAGGCAAAGAAAAATTTCGATTTTTGTATGCCAAGTTAATCCTCAGAATCTCTTGAACCTCATTGCCCCTTGTGGGCAACATCCTCGTTACAACTTGTTAGCAATTCACAACGTCTTATTTTATTACCCAGTCCAATTTTCCTCAGATCATTTAAAATCACTTGAAATCAGCAATCACTCACACTTTTGATTGAATTTTATCTACAAAATTTCTGACGCAGTAAATATGCATAACGACTCCACCCCTCGCGATTTTTCTTCAAGTTTGTAAATTTGTTGTAATCATTGTTGGGACAATAACTGTGAAATATTATTTGTCGGAAACAAACACCATGGGTGTTATGTAGAATTCATCGGCTATTTCCTCAAGTTTTCCTGCATATCAACGATCGGGATCAGTTTTGTAGTGAAATCCCTCGCGCTGCGCGCTCAGGATTTTAGTCTGCAAACTGATCCCTCTCGTTGCTACGCAACAAAACATTCGGGAAATATCCGATAATTTTGAAGGTTTTTGGAGTATTAGAAGAAGTTGGGGTAAAACGGACACTTTTGACTTTTTTTAAAATGTTACAGAGGGGTTGAAATGTTGATAAAAGGTAATAATTTTTTTTTCAATACAAAGAACAATTCTTTCCCTTTATGACGAGTCTAAACTGAGCTCAATTGATCAATTTGTTTCTGAGTTATGAATAATTTAAAAGAAATCGAAAGTGTCCGTTTAGCCCCACCCACCCCTATAGCTGAAAATTCCACCGCTTATTCAAATTTCCCTGAAATCCTGAAACCGATACAATTAAAAAATTTGTAACAAGTTTATGTGACACAAAAATTCATGACAGTCACGTTGCATATCTATAACTAATAGATTGTCAGATAATAGTCGATAGTATGACCGAAATTCTGACACGAAAAAAAATAAAGTCACATGGCCATCATAGGTATTTTTGGGACCTGACAAATTTTAATGTTAATTTGCATCCCTGGTATAAAATCCATGAGCACCTGAAAATGTTCTCATATATGCCATTCCAATCGTTTGGTAACTTACTTCCATCGATTTCAGTTAACTTAACACATGCTAAAAATATAATTCCGTCGAGCACCGTAAATCATAGGAGGTAATGAAAAAAAAGTCTGATTCTATTTCAAAATCAATTCATCACGTCCACAACTTTTTCAAAAACATAATTTTTCTTGCAATTCTTTCCATGTTTAATGAAATAACCTCCTTCAATCCCCTTTACCGATAGCCAAGGCTTTTAACTAAACCTACTAAACTTAGATGGAGCCACCAATCAACCAATCTCGAAATCTTGATTACTGAAGGAAACCCCGCACTGGTTCGTCCGCGTGAGTTGAGTAGTAGATTGAACACGACGTGTCACAATACAGAGGAAGATTATCGGCGTGGCGCCTTTGGGTACCGAGTAACGTCACACAATGGTAATTATCTCAAAATTCCACTAAAAACCCAGCCAAAAACTCCCAAAAACCTTCCCTCACTTGCTCCAAAAATGAAGGACTCCAAAATCACTCGTAAAATTCACAACAATTACCTCTCGAGGTCCCTTTGAATGACTCCCGTCAGTTGTCAACCTTAATTATTGTTGGTTATACAACGATGCTCCTCTGACAAGCCCCGCGAGTCCGAAAATTCCTCTGTCACTTGTTGATTCGACCCCTCGAGGGCCCAAATGACCCCTTGAATGCTCATTCAAAACGAAAAAAAAATTGCAGGAGAGATCAAAATGGACTGGTGTTGTTCTGTCACTGCTCCTGTCATTGACCCATGGGTTTTACGTACCTGGAGTGGCTCCAGTGGAGTTCAAAAAGTCCCAGAAGATCGACGTGAAAGCTGTTAAAATGACGAGCACTCACACACAATTGCCCTACGAGTACTACTCCCTTCCCTTCTGTTTACCTAAGAATGGAACATTCGTTTATAAATCGGAGAACCTGGGGGAGGTGCTCCGTGGTGATCGCATTGTCACTACTCCCTACGAGGTGGCAATGGGGGAGAATATTCCCTGCAGACTTTTGTGTCATTCCCCTAAGAACCCGATGACGTGGACCGAGGACGAGTCAAAACGAGTCATTGAGAGGATTAAACACGAGTACACTGTTCATCTGCTGATTGATAATCTACCAGCAGCCACGAAGAAGATCCATAAAGATGACAGTGTCATTGTTTACCATGGATATCGACTTGGAGAGGCCCTTGGGGACCAAGTGTACATTAATAATTACCTGAAACTCAAGCTGAGTTATCACAAACATGGAGAGTGAGTAGAAACAACTTATTCTTGGGGGAAATAGAGTAGACGTTTTTATTCATCCTGAGAAATGAAATTAAATGGGACTCAGGAAAGAGAAATTTCTAGTTTCCAGAACCATGCAAGGTATTGAATTGAGAAAGCTTGTGGTTTTAAGACATGGTAAGGTAAATGACCTTACGCTCGTCTAGCTAAGGTGAACACATCATTAGTACAATATTTCTATCAAAATAAGGGTGAAGATGCGATGGTTTAAATTAAATATTAGAGGGAACTGATACTAATCGTGATAATTCCTATTTTTTAATAAATAATCATTCGTAAATGGAGAAAGCCCCATGTACGTTCGACATATGTCCCTATCCTCGTCTCGTGATTTGAGTTATCTGGAGGTTATATCCGAACTAATTACATCGTGAGTATGCTATTTCGTGATAAAAACAAGCAGCGCGACCGATGCCATTTGACAGATTATATAGGGCTGTTACTCTCCACGTATTTTTTTCTCCTATTTTCATTTCTACCAATTTCAATGGTAGTAGGCTTCCGAATGTATCCCAATGTATGTTTTCAAAAAATAAAACCGTATATTCATGTTATATGGTTTTCTCAGTTACCCTGATGTGAAAATGAACGGTGAAATGTAGAAGAGTTAATTTTTTTTTCTCAACAATTTTGGGTGAATTGTTCCATCTCAAGAACTATAAAAAATATCGACCGAAAATTTGATATAAGAGTGTTCCTTGATAATCCTAACTAGCTTCAAAAGGTTTCCCTGACGTTTACCCATGTCATACTGCGCAAAAGTGAATTCCGACCAAAAAAATACAAAAACGACATCTCGAACAATGTCAATGGGAGTACTCATATTTTGTTGGATATAGATAGATGCCGTCAAAACGCGCATTTTGAAAAGAAGAAAATTGAAATCTGACCAATAGTTTTTGAAATATTGAGCAAAAGAGTTTCACGTAGAAAGTTGAAGATTTCCGAAACTACTGGTCCTATTTCGTTCATCCAGAATCCCAAACTTTTTTACCATAAGATCTAAAATCATGCCAAGTTTCAAGTTTCTTTGCCTTCAGCATCTTTGCCTCAATAATTCTCGAGTGATGGGGACAGTTATGAACATTTGCATACACATACCTACACACATACAGACATTTTTTAAAAACATCATTTGTTCACGGTTCATGACATTTCTAGGCATTTCCACCCAAAATTGAGAAATCGAAAAAAATCACGATTACAAAGCTTCCATTCGGAAGAAAAAATATCTAAAAAAATCTCTAGGCACAAAATTATATCTCAATTGGACAGTCCAACGTTTCAAATGATTTTCTTATCCGTTTAGTCCGTTACCAGTTGACAGTTGGTTGTAAAACGAGCATAGGATCATGTCATTTCCATTGTACCTATTTTTCTAGTTGTTAATATTTCAATGAAATGTTAAGATATTATTATAATTTATGGATTTTCTTTCATTTTTTAAGTATCCAAAACCTCGATCAAGAGATTTTTAATCTCATTTTCATATTATAACGGAGGTGTGAACATTTAAAAATTGTGATTTTCTTAGCTTGTGGGTAAAGTATTCACTTTCTCGTAGCACCAGTTAATGTGACTGGGATTTGTCTGTCTTATTATTCAATAAATTATTGTTCATTGGTGTCAATAACTTTCCTTATCGATTAAAATAATAACTCCAATCGTATTTCACTCTTAATGGATTCTTGAGACTCAAAATGATTAAAATGTGGTAGCTCGCGACATCTGAACAAGCATAGGGACAGGGATGAGCAAAGGTACAGTTACCTTATTTGGAATGAGCAACTGCATACTAAATTACAGTAGAAACCTGCCTAAAATGCAGTATAAAAAGCTTATTTTTAGTTATAACAGTTATTGAACAGAGACTTTGTGGATTTTTATATGGAGAATCATTGGATTATTAAGTTCAAAACCTGTGAGGTCTTGAGCTAACACATTAATAATTACCTGAAACTCAAACTGAGTTATCATAAACGTGGAAAGTGAGTAGAAATTATTAATTCTGGTGTAAAATCGAATAGACGTTTTCACTCATATTCTGGGCAATGAATCAAATGGGACACGAGGACGAGAAGTTTTTAGTTTCCAGAACCAAGGTATTGATTTAAAAAAACGTGTTCTATTGGGAATGACAAACCGATTACTGAGTTTCAGTAGAAAACTGCCTAAAATTCAGCATAAAAAAACTATTTTAAATGATAAAAGTTTTGCACTGAGAATCTTTGGGTTCATATATTAAACATCGGCAGTGTCTATTTACACGCTTCACGGTAACTTTAACCGTGGATATACGGAATGTTTTCCCATGGATTCAAAGTAATTTCTACCTTGGATATATGGGACCCTCGTGGATCCTCAACTTTTACTTCTCAAATTCAATCTAGACAATAAACTATCCCTGGTAAAACATTCCGATTATTTCCGACTAGGTGATAAAAAATAAATCGGCGTTAATGATGCTTCTGTCTTCGCCCGTTAAATTCCGATTGGCTGGTAGGTAGAGTTTGGAGTTTGAGAAAATTATGAGAATTAATGGGAACAGGGGTATGTGGCCGTTATCATCCGATTACTTTAAAAAAAAGCGGTTGATAGATCTCATATTGCTCATACTAATCTTTAATATTTATTGCTCATTTAAATATTTATATGAGTAATATGAGATCAATCAACCACTTTTTTGGAAAGTAATCGGACGATAACGGCCACATACCCTTGTTTCCATTAATTCTCATAATTTTTTCAAACTTTAAACTCTACCTACCAGCCAATCCGACACTCCGCTGCATCCTTTGAAAAAAAAATAATGAAATGGCGAAAATTTCACGGGTGTATTGAAAATTCGTCGTTTAGGTTTCTTTACACTTATTATTCATGATTAATCAATTCCAAATGATTTTTATTCCAAAATATTATTTATCCAAATTGTTTAAGGCCCGCATGGAGGGATTTTTTTCTCGAGTGGCGATTTTACGCCCCCCCACTTTGCGGTCAAAGCAAGAAGCTTTATCCGAACCATAGCTATGTCGGTAACTGCGGGAATGGCAGGAAACCAGGGTGACATATAAAAGTGGGGCTTGGAAAGGGCCCCGCAATTTTTGTTTCTTATTTTCTTCGTGTTTATTTTTTCCGGTAGATGTTCTCATGTTTCCCACGAAGTTTTCGAGAAATAATTCCGATTTTTGAGAGAATTCTCCGGTTTTTGAGAAAATTCTGAAAAATTCTCCAGTTTTTGAAAAAATTATATGGATATTTAGAGTTTTCAAACCAAATTCGAGGAAATTCTACGGTTTCCGAGCACGTTCGAGAAAATTTTTAGGTTTTCGGGAAAATTTTCCTATTCTCTGGAAAATTCAAAGAAATTCTCCAGTTTTCTAGAAAATTCCAAAAAAAGCTTGGGTTTTCGAGACAGTTCTAGATCATTCTTAGGTTTTCGAGAAAATTCTAGTAAAATTCTTTGGTTTTTGAAAAAATTAGAGGGGGGTGGGGTAATATGGACATTCGGGGTAAAATGGACACTCAAAAATTTGCGAATTTTTTTGTTTTTCATAATTCAAATTTTTGAAAATCGTTTCATTGGGCATTATGGACACCTGATAAATCTGTATGGGCGGGACTAAAATGAACACTCAAAACATTTTCAATAATTGATTTTTAAAAATTGCTTCTTGGCAAAATCTACAACTGAAAAATTATTCAAGAGTGGGCTAAAATGGACATCCGAAAAATTTGGTTCTATCCAAAAATAAAGAAAAGTTTGAAAAGACATTTTCCAAGAGAATCGTATCGGTATCTTTTTATAAACAAAAATTAGAGTTGGGAAAGATATTAACAAACAAACTTCGACTCTATTAAATTTTACATTGAAGTTTGAAATATAAAGAGCTTTGAATTTCCTGTTTTACTCTTGAAATAACTTTGAAATTATTAATTCTTTTTCAATTATCAATTGCATGCCCTACACATCTGACCTTTTGTCCATTTGTGAAATTTGTAAGATGATTACTTTTCTACTCACAGAGGAAATCACCATCCCAAGTAGCAAACCTTGCGAAAGATATCTGAAAGTATACCAAAAAGGCTGACTAATGTCCGTCCAAAAGGTATCTTGCAGTCATACGATAACTTTTAGTTAACTTCTAGGTAACTTCTAGACACAAGTTATCTTTTTGGACAGACATTAGACAGCCTTTTTAGTATACTTGCAGATACCCTCCAGAACTGTGCTGCTTGAGATAAAACAATAGGCGGAGAGGAGGATAAATGAGGAAGGAAAAATTTGATTTACCACCCCCATGGCGAACATCAAAAATAAGTTTTTTTTTTCAATTTGAAAATCGCAATCATGACTAGCGTTTCAGAAATTGAATCAAATTGTTGAAAAATTGAGAAAGAAATCAAGGTATCCATTTTACCCGGTTTTTTCTTACGATGCACTCTTATGAGAATCTGTTGGCTTTTATGATCTTCAAATGAAGTCGGAACAGTAGATTTGATCGAATTCAACTCATTATTTATATCTGGCGTCCATATTGCCCCACCCTCTCCTATTATATCTTGAATTTTCCAAAAAAAATCGAGGAAATTCTAAGGTTTTCGAGAACGTTTTAGAAAATTCTTAGGTTTTCGAGAAAATTCTAGGAAAATTCTCCTGTTTTCGAGAAAATTATAGGGATGGACCAAGTTGATATTTGGACTATCCATAATTTCCTGTGTTTGAGAGAAAATTGAGAGTCAGTTGAGAGTCGGAGTGACGAGGCCAAAAATACATTTTATGCAAACCGATCTCTTTACTATCGATTTTTTACCCTGTCAGTAGGCGCGCGGTTCCACCACCTTTGTTGAGACGTGCGATGAGGGAATCGCTCATCGGCTTCTCGTCATAATAGAGCCAAATATCGCTATAGGCGGCGCTGTTCAGCGTTCTGCGGCACGAGCCCCGTACCCATAACACGTACAAAATTTGGACTGAGCCGAAGAAAATATTCTTTTCGTGTCACGGGACCTGAAAATTAATTTTCGTGTCACGGGACCTGAAAAACCCAGGTCCAGGTCCAGGTTTGCAGGTCCCTCGACACGAAAATAAATATACACACCTCGCCATGGAAAACATCACACTCCCCCACGTGCTTGCCATCCTCGCCTTCGGCGCGGAAGACAATCTTGCACGTGCGCGACGATGATCTCTGTAGTGAAGTGGTAAAACGAGGTAAGTGCATAAAATGGAATTTTACAGGAGAGCAAAAAAACGGCTATGTCATCGATACTGGGAAATTTAGTACAAATGACGCCGAATCTTTATTCTACTGTCCTTTAACTTTTTACCCTATTATTATAAAATTGCGGAATTAATCCTTTACGCAGTTTTAAGTAGTTACCTCCAAATTTTAATTCTGTGTGGAGAGTCAAGTTGACTTAAGGGGGTCATCCCATGTGTCGAGTTGAAAAAATCGATTTCTTTTTACACTAATTCCATCTATATATATCGTAGAATATGCGTACGAAGTATTTTTTCGATATTCGAAGTCATTCGAAAGTTATAGCAGTGAATTGGGCCAAACACTCAATACCGGATAATGGTATGTGAATTCTTCGAACGCGTTTTTCTTGGAACTGCGTTTTCGAAATTGGCTGACACGATAACTCGAAATTTAGTGAACGGATTTTAACAAACTTTGGAAGAGTTACTCAGTAGATGTCAATGCATCTGCTGAACTAAGATAATTGCGATATCTAAACTAGTTTTTTTTTTTTTTTAAGAAAATAGTCGAAAAAAAACACCAAAATTTGTAAAAAAAATTTCAAGAGCCTGCCAAAAATTCAAATTTTGATATTTTTGAAAAATCCTAGGTCACCAGATAGCTGAACCTTCACAGATTGAGAACCCGTTTTATTTTTTAATTTCAGATCATCAGCACTCTCGGAATCCTGTATACCGTTTTACCCCTTTCTTTCATGACTGACTTTGCCGTTGGCTAGCTCGGCATGGGTCAATGAGTTTTGTCCCAAAAAAATAGAGTGTTATCTTGGAATGCCAATAAATATGTAGTAAAAATTTCGATGTTGTCACTTCGTTCATTTCCCCACAAAAAATTCCCAAATATAGCATCAAAAACCGGCCGCCACATGGGATGACCCCCTTAAGTCGTTGGGTTATCACCAAAAAAAGCGATATGTTGACTTAGCACATGAAGAATGTAAATTTCACTAAGGGTCAAACGTTACGAGGATCACTAAGAGGAGGGTCAAGCGTTACGAGGGTCACTAATGGGAGGGTCAAGCGTCACGAGAGTTACTAAGGGGAGGGTCAAACCTCACGAGAGTCACGAGGGTCAAAGGTCACGGCGGTCACTAGAGGTAGAGTCAAACGTCACGAGGGTCACTAGGGAGAGGGTCAAACGTCACGAGGGTCATTAGAGGGAAAGGGTCAAACGTCACAAGGGTCACTAGGGGGAGAGTCAAACATCACGAGGGTCACTAGGGGAAGGGTCAAACGTCCCGGGGGTCACTAAGGGGAGGGTCATTAGAGGGAGAGGGTCAGACGTCACAAGGGTCACTAGGGGGAGAGTCAAACGTCACGAGGGTCACGAGGTGAAGAGTCAAACGTCACGAGGGTCACTAGAGGAAGGGTCGAACGTCACAAGGGTCATTAGAGGGAGAGTCAAACGTCACGAGGGTCACTAAAAAAAAGAGATGTGTTGACTTAGCACATGAAGAATGTAAATTTCACTAAGGGTCAAACGTTACGAGGGTCACTAAGAGGAGGGTCAAGCGTTACGAGGGTCACTAATGGGAGGGTCAAGCGTCACGAGGGTTACTAAGGAGAGGGTCAAACCTCACGAGGGTCACGAGGGTCAAAGGTCACGGTGGTCACTAGAGGGAGAGTCAAATGTCACGAGGGTCACGAGGTGAAGAGTCAAACGTCACGAGGGTCATTAGAGGGAGAGGGCCAAACGTAACAAGGATCACTAGGGGGAGAGTCAAACGTCACGAGGGTGATTAGATGGAACGTCAAACGTCACGAGGGTCAAACGTCACAAGGGTCATTAGAGGGAGAGTCAAACGTCACGAGAGTCACTAGGGGGAGGGTCAAACGTCACGAGGGTCACTAAGGGGAGGGTCAAATCTCACGAGGGTCACGAGAGTCAAAGGTCACGGCGGTCACTAGAGGGAGAGTCAAACATCACGAGGGTGATTCGAGGGAACGTCAAACGTCACAAGGGTCACTAGGTGAAGAGTCAAACGTCACGAGGATCACTAGAGGGAGGGTCAAACGTCACAAGGGTCATTAGAGGGAGAGTCAAACGTCACGAGGGTCACTAGGGGGAGGGTCAAACGTCACAAGGGTCATTAAGGGGAGGGTCAAACCTCACGAGGGTCAAAGGTCACGGCGGTCACTAGATGGAGGGTCAAACGTCACGAGGGTCACTAGGGAGAGGGTTTGACTCTCCCACTAATGACCCTTATGACGTTTGACCCTCCCTCTAGTGACCCTCGTGACGTTTGACCCTCCTGACCCTCGTAAGGTTTGACCCTCCCCTTAGTGACCGTCGTGATGTTTGACTCTCCCCCTAGTGATCCTCGTGACGTTTGACGTTCCCTCTAATCACTCCCGTGACGTTTGACCCTCCCCCTAGTCACCCTCGTGACGGTTGACTCTCCCTCTAGTGACCCTTGTGAGATTTATTTTTTAGATGGGCCATTTTGCTCCCTTTGTCGTTTGTGTCCCCCTGGCCCGTTTTGCCCCCATCCTGTTTTTCAAAATAACACTTGGAATAAGGAATTGAGTCTCTATCAATACATATGGAGATAAGTGAAGTTACCTCCTCTAGGTCCTCCCAATGATGGGAGTTATGTCAACTTACCTCTAATTGCATTGATAGAAAATTGAAACTCGCACATATCTCTTTTTTTATTTTTCATGTAACCCCATAAAATATTATTTTTAGACCAAACCCTTCCGTCAACACTTGCAGATCAATATTACAATGTGATTGGTGCAATAAAACAAATTTCGAAAAAAATGCAGTTACCTCGTTTTACCACTTCACTACAGATCTGTTCTGCAAGGCTCGGGCATGTAATGTACTATTCCGTCCCGGCGGGCGCAAAGTTACATTTCCCTCCCGCTTCGCGGGAGGGAACTCTGACTTTGCGCCTACGCCGAGACGGAAAATCGCGTTCTAACCACGGGAAGTAAAATAAAGGACCCTCAGCCGCGTGCTTACCAACCTCGCCTTCGGCTCGGCTGGTAATTGCACTGGCGGCTGAGGATCCTTTATTTTCCCTCCCTAGGTTAGAAATATACTATTTTATACTCAACCCTGACCAATAGATGACTTTTATCACCACGAGAGTCAACTAGAAGAGTTACTTGAGGCATATAAAAAATCGCTCACAGCGCGGCTACTGATGGGTTAAAACAGACAATTAGATTTGTTATTTTTAGTGACTTCTTCAATTTCAATCAACTTTTTTCAGAAATGAAAATTAGATTTTGGAATTTTGATTCTTAACTATCTCTGGATCTACTCTCAACTTTTTTTATAGTTGACAGTTGCATTTATTATTTTCTATTGTCTTTCAATCGACTCCATTTTTTTGAAAATTAAGAGTTGGATTTTTGATTCTCAATTGTCTCACAATCTACTCTTACCTTTTTTGAGAATTGAAAGTTGGATTTTTTTGTTCATGAAAATAGGATTTTTTATTCTTAATTCTCTCTCAATCTACTTGAAAATTTTCGTAAAAGTTGAGAGTTTGATTTTTCATTCTTAATTGCTTTTTAATCTACTCTCAACTTTTTCGAGAATTGAGAGTTGGATTTTTTTCTTCCGAATGGAATCCCTGTATTCGTCCAATCTGAAATTTTCATTTTTTTGTGCCAGGATGAGTAATTTTGGTCTCAGGAGTTTGAATATACAGTTTTTAGATCATGTCCGTACATATGTTTGTATGTACGTATCTGAGTTTTTTTTTCAAATTTAGTTTTTCGACCATCATTCAAAATATAATCGTCGAAATCTTTTCAATTATGGCTTAAAATATTTTTTTGGATGTTATCTCGGTCGAGTTCGAAGATAGCGGCGATCGCATCATTTGCTTTGAAATTATAGCCTAAAAAGCATTTAATCGAGATTTAATGAGAGTTTAATTACGACTTAATCAGGGCTTAACCAAGGTTTCGTCAAGGTTAAATCAATATTTAATCAACAGGTCCCGCGATCAACCCAAGGTTGATCCATAGTCAACCCAAATTTCACCCGTGGTCAAACCGAGGTTGATCCATGGTCAAGCCACGGTTGACCCATGGTTAAGCCAAGGTTGACCCATGGTCAAGCCAAGGTTGATCCATGGTCAAGCCAAGGTTGACCCATGGTCAAGCCAAGGTGGATTCATGGTCAAGTCAAGGTGGACCCATGGTCAAGCCGAGGTTGACTCGTGGTCAAGCCACGGTTAACCCAAGGCCAAGCTAAAGTTGACCAAAAGTCAATGCAGAGGTGGCCGAAAGTTGACTCACGTTCAACCTTGATCTTGATCTTTCTAGGCTCTAATGAATGGCCAGGAGTCGATTTTCACATTTTTCGCTTTTTTTCGGCTCCTGTTCCTATTTAATTTTAAAAATTTTCATTCACTAGAAATTTCATTTCAAATTATCGTTGAAAAAAAAATCGATTAAAATTCTCCTGAGATTAATTTTCAATTCCGAAAACGTTGATTGGAAATAAAGAAATCACCAAANTCACTAGAAATTTCATTTCAAATTATCGTTGAAAAAAAAATCGATTAAAATTCTCCTGAGATTAATTTTCAATTCCGAAAACGTTGATTGGAAATAAAGAGATCACCAAGAATTACCAATTTAATTGTCAATTTTCAAAACAGTTGATAATATTGAAAGGGGCTTGCATAAAATGCATTGTAGTCCTCGTTGCTCCAATCCTCAGCTAACTTTCAATTTTCTCTCAAGCACTTGGAAATTATTGAAACCCCAACTATCAGCTTGGTTCGCCAGAGTCATTCCTATAATTTTCTCGAAATCCTGATAATTGTCTTGGAATTTTCTCGAAAATCTAAGAATTTTCAAGAGCCGCGTATGAAAAAATTTCATAGAAATATCTAGCGAATTTGTTCGAAATTTCTAATGCTGTTTGTATTGAATTTTCTACTACTTTTTGACCGATTCTAGCAAAATGTTCAATAGAAAATATTCAATAGAAAACGTCAATGGAATTCGATTTTTCTATGTAACTTATACTCTTCAGATATTTTCTATAGAATGTTCTTGGCTCTAATTTTTCAAGTTTTTTTTCAGTCTATTTTTCTTTTGTTCTCATGAAGAAAATCAAACAAAAAAAGTTAGAAAATTGGAGAAGAGAAAATTCTATAGAAAATATCTCAATAGAATAAGTTGTA